GCGAAGGGGAGCCGGGGGGGAGCAGCGCTGCTCCCCGAGCCAAGCCCGGGGGGAAACTTCGGCGTCGTTGCGCCGGGTGTTGGAAGCGGAGGCTGGCGGGGGCCCCTCACCTGCAAAACCTGGTCGCCTCTCATATATTTCGTGCATTGCATTCATCGCCCGCTTTCTCCTCCAAGGAGCTCCCGGGGGCGCGCGTGGTTCTCCCCGTGTTATCCTCGCAACAACAGCCCTGCGAGGTGGGTCAGGCGAGTGGCCCAAGGGAGCACCCAGGGATTGTCCTGGCCAGGTGGGGTGATTTGAACCCTGCTCTCTGCCCGGTCTTCGTCCTCATTTAGCCCCCACATGTGCATGACTGTGCATGACTGAGGTTTTCCCCCCTCGTCTTGGCTATGGTGTGAGTCTGTGCTGTTAATTAATGGGGTTCTGCCTTCGGAGAAGATGAGCCAGCCCTCAAGGAGGTGATTATGTAATTTGCTAGCAATTCATGTCCCTCCCGGTGTGACGCTGCCGCTGATGTCACGGGGCTGTAATGGTGGTGTGCCTCGAGATTTTTTTCATGAAACAAGTGTGCCTTTGCCCAAAAAAGGTTGGGAAACACTGATCTACATCAACTAGAATCATAGAATAGAATCATAGAATCATAGAGTTGGAAGAGACCACAAGGGCCATCGAGTCCAACCCCCTGCAAAGCAGGAAACACCATCAGAGCACTCCTGACATATGGTTGTCAAGCCTCTGCTTAAAGACCTCCAAAGTAGGAGACTCCACCACACTCCTTGGCAGCAAATTCCACTGTCGAACAGCTCTTACTGTCAGGAAGTTCTTCCTAATGTTTAGGTGGAATCTTCTTTCTTGTAGTTTGGATCCATTGCTCCGTGTCCGCTTCTCTGGAGCAGCAGAAAACAACCTTTCTCCCTCCTCTATGTGACATCCTTTTATATATTTGAACATGGATATCATATCACCCCTTAACCTCCTCTTCTCCAGGCTAAACATGCCCAGCTCCCTTAGCCGTTCCTCATAAGGCATCGTTTCCAGGCCTTTGACCATTTTGGTTGCCCTCCTCTGGACACGTTCCAGTTTGTCAGTGTCCTTCTTGAACTGTGGTGCCCAGAACTGGACACAGTACTCCAGGTGAGGTCTGACCAGAGCAGAATACAGTGGCACTATTACTTCCCTTGATCTAGATGCTATACTCCTATTGATGCAGCCCAGAATTGCATTGGCTTTTTTAGCTGCCGCGTCACACTGTTGGCTCATGTCAAGTTTGTGGTCAACCAAGACTCCTAGATCCTTTTCACATGTACTGCTCTCAAGCCAAGTGTCCCCCATCTTGTATTTGTGCCTCTCATTTTTTTTGCCCAAGTGTAATACTTTACATTTCTCCCTGTTAAAGTTCATCTTGTTTGTTTTGGCCCAGTTCTCTAATCTGTCAAGGTCGTTTTGAAGTGTGATCCTGTCCTCTGGGGTGTTAGCCACCCCTCCCAGTTTGGTGTCATCTGCAAATTTGATCAGGATGCCCTTGAGTCCATCATCCAAGTCGTTGATAAAGATGTTGAATAAGACTGGGCCCAAGACAGAACCCTGTGGCACCCCACTAGTCACTCTTCTCCAGGATGAAGAGGAACCATTGATGAGCAACCCTAGAGAGCAACTAGAAGCAGCTCTCTAGGGTTTCAGGCAGGTGACATTCCCAGCGCTACCTGGAGTTGTCAGGGTTGAACCTGGGACTGTCCGCATGCTCTGCCACTGAGCTACGGCCTGTCTCTAAGAAGGCAGCAATTTAATGAAAACAACTGTAGCAGGAACCCCCCACCCCAATCATTCAGTTTGTACAAACTTCACACACACTCACACTCACACACTACATACGCTACACTTCTGTTATAAATTCATAGAAAATGAACCATACATCGGATTTGCACTGTTCCACTTTTATTTTACTCCATGAAGGAAGGACTACAAAATGGGGAAGGTTTGATACAGGCCAGCCATAATCCCTTGAATATCCCAGCACATCCACAGGAGCCCTGCCCAGTTGCTATGCCAACCCTGATGGTCCTAGACAGAAGAAAGACAATCAAGATCACAAAGAACTTGCATATGGGAGTGGATTCAGCATGGACTGAAACAAAGGACAATGATCAGATCTTTCCTCTGGGGGCAGGAAACTGCCAACTCCCCTTTGTCTCCTGGAAGTGACTCATGGGGAGGGGAAGAGAACCAGCCAGGTGTCAGGACACTCAGGTTACCACCACAACTCCTCCCTCAACCCCTCCTTTCTGTAATGTATGCATGATGTTTCTGGGGGTGGGCTTGACCTACGGAATTTCAAAAGTTTTTATAAGACCTTGCACACCATTTTCCTCTGTCTTTCCTCTCTCCTGCAAGTGAGGGGAACACCCTGTTGCAACAGTTCAATAAAGGCCCAGCCTACAGGCTGCTGTTTTGCTCCAAGTTATCCTGGTTGGTTTCTTTGTTTTGTCCAAGGGAGCCCTCGGATTTTTCCGGTAACAAGGTAAAACAGGTGAATGAAAATCATTTAAATAAGCATAGAAAGGGCAGTGGAAATCTACCTATATGCAATATATTATTTTAGCACATATTCAACCTGGAATGATTACTACTTGGTTAGAGAATAAAAATTGCATTGGGAACCTTTGGAGATCCCAAATTGCCAGTTTCAAAGCATTCCAGCCTAGAAGGCAAGGTAGCAGAGTAAGAAGGTGGACTCTTGAACACCAGCTTCAATAGGAATAGTTCCTAGAATCTGTTAGGGAGACTATTACATTGACAGTACAGTAGGCTCTCTTGAGGGTGGTGTAGTATCCCTCTTCCTCTTCCTGGTTGGCTCAAACTTATCCATGTGTCTTTCTCTCCCATCTTTCAGTTGGCTCAGGCAAGATGTTTATGCCAAAGTGTTCTGGATCCTTTGCTGAGATTCTCCTTATTAGTGCATTCTGCCTGCATCTCAGAGAAAGCTGAAGCAAGCCATAGCGATTGGCTGGAACTAAGGCAGAATGTATGAAAGTATATATGAACGCATTGGCAAAGGGGGTGAACTGCTTGCTCATAAAACCATTTAATACATGCTGCCAAAGTCCTGAGCTCCAGCCAGCAGCCAAAGCAAACAGCTTGAATAGTAAGGCATTGCACTCTGCCAGCAAGACAGGAACAAAAGGTGGGGAAGACAGTTTTCTGGGTGGGCTATTGTTCCATTGTACTACCTATGGAACTGGCCTTCGGTGCAATTTTCATTCACAGCTACAAAAGTCACAAACCACATTTTTGTGAATTTAACCAGATAGAATTTTAACACACAGGGAAGACTTAGGGACCTGATATTTCCTAACCTGACAGCAATAGCAATCAACATGTCTTTTACAGCTTCACTGTATTAATCTAGCAACACCATGTCAGCTTAACCTGAACTTCTAAAGTGGAATGTATGAATGAGGCTTACATCCTATTCACATTTATTTGCAGGTAAGTCCTATTAAGTTCAATGGTTCTGCAGAGAAAATATGCATCAGAGGGCACTTTGAGGAAAGTTAAATAAGATATAGGGCTCCTTTACTGAATGTCCCTTTATGAGATATACAATCTGCAAACATGTTTTCTTTTTCACTGTGTCAGGTGTGAGGCCCCGAGTGCAACAGTCAACATGGTGAGCTTCACACAGTCACCATGAGGATATTCCAGGGAGAAAGGGACCTGCTCCCTAGGTGTACTGTGTACTCTTGTAGGGTTGAACCAAGAACACGAAAAGATGCATTCTCACATGCTCAGTAAATTCCCTTCAAATTGTGAGAAAGGTTGGGTCTGCCAGTTTCAAATAATGCAAACTCTGGGGCCACGAGGCTACTTTGAGAGAATTAGTGAAGATCAGTGAATTCTGGTCGGGAAATAATTTAGACCTATTGGTACCTATTCAGTACATCCAGTCTATTTTCACCTTCGTTGGTTTCCAATTAGTTTCTGGACCCACTTCAAAATCCTGGTTATGACCTATAAAGTATACATGGCTTGGGATATCCGTACCTGAGGGAAGACTTCCTTCTGTATGTACTTCCTACCTGTATCTACTTCAGCCCCTATCTGAGTGCCACCTCTGACCAAAGTTTGGAGGGTAGTCATGACAGAGAGAGCCTTTTTGGTGGTGCACCCCCCCAACAGAATGCTTTCCCAAAGGAAGCACACATGGTGTTCATGCTGTTGTCTTTTTAACTTCAGCCTGACTCCCCCCCATTTTTAAATCTCCTCATTTTAGTCTGTGTGGCATGGCTGGTGGTTTTAGCTGAGCTGCGGGGGGGGGGGGAGGTTGTTTTGGCATGATATTGATGGTGTGTTTGGGTTGTTATGCTGAGATTTTTATAGCTCAATGTTATGTTTCATTGATTTGTTTATAAGGTACCTATCAAGTATAAATAAATAATAATAAAAAAACTTCATTCAATTGAACCAAGCTGGTACTATAAACCTCAGCCTGACATCCTTGGAGAAGCTTTCATAAGTATTCTAGGGAGCTGAATTGTACGCCTGGCGATACGGGTGATGCCTGACTTGGGAGGCATCCCTAACTGAGAGAAGCTCGCGGTCTTCTCTTCAGCGAGCCCCACAGCGCCCCGAAGCGGTCAGCCGCGACTGCTGAAGTTGCGCGCGCTCCGGACAGCGGCCGCTCCAGAGATTCTCCCACCTCACAAACCCCGACATCTTTGAGCGCGGCGTCGGCGCCTTTAAGAGAGCGAGTGAGAAGCTCAGGCTAGCCATCTGGAAGCTGGAAAGTTGTCCGCTGGTTGGACAAAAAGCACGGCGAGAGCACCAACACCGCCGGCAGCAGCAAGCTCACGCCGGGGTCCGATGCCACCACCGAATCGCCTCAGGCAGAGTCGGTGTGACGCGCGCGGCTGCTCGCGCCGAATTCCCTTTGCTCGAAAGGAAGCGCGCGGCGGAGGAGAGGCCCGGCGGGGGGTCCCCCCACCCTCCCCCTCGCGCGCCCGCCGCCTCGCCCGAGCTTTCCTCAGTTAGGCAGAGGAGAGCGCGGGCTGCGCTCTGACCCCGGAGATGGGCCGCGGCGGGAGGGGCCGGCAGCTGCTTCTGCTGCAGATTTGGCTCGGCGAGGGGAGCTCCCTGATGCTGCTGCTGCTGCCGCCGCCGCCTGCACCGTTTCCTTGCTGCTGGCTGTGCGGTTGGAAGGGAGCTCAACCTCCGCCGGTATAAAAAAACACACAAAAAAACCCCTCCTAGCTCTCCAGCGAAGGCGGTCGGCCAATAGGTCCGCACCGGTTTGAGAGAGACTGGTCTGGAAAGCAGCAGCAACTGCCGAAAGGATACTTCGGCGGCTCGGCTGCGGAGGAAAGCGCGGGACTTTTCTTCCCCCTTCGCCCGCTCTCGCTCACCTCGCAGCCCGCGCCGAAGCGTCTGAGGGAAGGAAGCGGGCGCCGCCGCAGCAAGAAAGAAAAGGCGCGCGGGGAGGGTCGGAGCAGCCCCGCCGCCCGCCCGCCCGCCCGCCCCAGCTGCGCGTGGGTCTCCTCCTTTGGCGGTCGCGCGTGCGTCGTCGTGCGAGGGGAGGGGAAGGGGGGGCGGTGGGCTGGCGAGAGCCAGAGCTCAGCCCCGAGGAGAGACACACCGGAGGATGGTCCTCCCGCCGTGGCCGCGCGCCGCCGCTGCCGAGCGAGCCTGAGCTGCGGACCGAGGGGAGATGCGGCCGGCGACTCTGGCTGGAAGCCCTTGAGATGAGGCGGACACCCGCCGCCGTCGCCGTGCCCAGAGCGGCTCCTCGTTTCCGAAGGTAGCTGGCTGCAAGGGGAAGGCAGGACGTGACGGGGGCTCCTGGCAAGTCCCTCTTGCCCGGGGCGGGAGGGGGCACCCAGGACGCCGCTTCTCTGGCCAACGCAAGCGGCAGGAAGGCTTCTCTCTCGCTCCCCCAATTCTCTCTCTGATTAAGCGAGAGGATGCAGCGCGAGCGGGGTGGGCGAGAGACGTGATGCTCTGGGTCGGTTATTCCTGGGCACCGAGGAGGCAAATGGAAATGCACTTTTCCGCTCTGGAGGCAGCCTAATAATGCAGGCTATGCAGGCAGCGCCTTAAAGAGGGAACAGATTTATTTATTCGCCCTTTCTTTTAAAAAAACAAACGTGGCGTAAGCTTTCGTGGACTAGCACCCAACCCACTCCGTGCCTTACAGCCCACGGAAGCTTATGCCGCCGTCAAATCGCGTTTGTCTTTCTTTACGGTGCGTGTTCGCTCCGCGATTTTAGCCCAGGTTAGTTTCCCCCGCAACTCTTGAAAAACTACCTTATTGTACAAGGCGATCCAACAAGGGTTGTTAAAGTAAAGGATTGGCTCGCCCGCCCACCCTTTTTTGCAACAACGGCGACCACCTTGCTTTGAATGTAGGTAGAGGCTATTGTGGATCAGCTAACGCGAAGAGCAAAGGTGTGTTGTGTTCAGTTTGTGGTGGTGCAGGAGGTCGAGAGGGCTCGTCCACAGGTAAAGGGGTGGCGGGAGAAGACTTTCTGTATGTGACTGCAGAGACACGTGGGAATCGCCGGGCTGGCTTAGAACTAGGAGTCTCTCATCCAGGTACAGGCAGCTGGCTCTTTGGAAGAAGAGGCGTCAGGAAACCCCAGCATGATTTCCAGTTTTGTTAAGCTAGTGCCAAGGGATGACTCTGATTCCAAATGCAAGTTTGGGGGACTAGGTTGGCCTTGCTTGTGATATGGGATGCCAGAGCAGCACAGCGCTGGAGAAATGCATGGGATGGGTCAGGTAAGGGCACCTGCAACTTAATGTTTTATTTTGGGATTCCTCCTCCATCCTGCCAAGGGGTAGCGATTTTCATTCTTATCTGGAACTTGGAGCCTGGGCTGGAGCAGAGGTTTTAGGATATGTTGCTTTTTGCAGGCTTTGTAATGCTTTCTCTTGTTATCGCTTTGTTTTCCGATGTAATTAAGCTGGCAGCTGGAGTCCCCAAACTCAGTGCTTAGACCAGCCTTTCTAATTTCTCTATCTACAGTTCATTCCCTGGTGGGTTAGGATTTCCCTGACTTGTATTTTCAGCATGGCACTAGTAGCTTGCCTTATTTAATTTTGGAGGCAGCAAAACATGCCTTTCATCGGTCTTTTAGTTAGAAATGACCACTGAGGAAAGAATGCAGCGACAAGATGCCACTTCCTTCTTGTCTGACTCTCATTTGGCCTCTTTGGGGCAACGATTTGTGGGGAGGAAATGAAATGTTTAGCTGAAATGGGAGCACTCTTATTTCCTAAAGTGGTCTAGAACAAGGAGATAAATGAGACCAAAATGCCTTTCCAGATGATAAAATAAAAAGCAAAGTTGTTGCTTCTGTTGTGTTGGACTCTTGACATCTTCCCTTAAGAAAGTGGATCTGTTTCAGGGATATTCTGTTTTTCCAGCACTCAAATAGCAACCTATTGTTTGGAAGAGGCCAAGCTTTCTCCAGCTGGTGGGCCCATTCTAATTGATTATGAGGACTGAATGGAATCAGATGGTGTGAAAGTCGTGAGCACTCACTGTATAAAACATGTGAAATCATGCTCCCTCATGTTAAACAACAACAACAACATAGGTCTCATCCTGAACAGGCTTAAGAAAAGTATAGGAACACTCAGCAAGCCTTCAGACTTTGTCCTGAGAACAGATGTCCACCTCGCATACAGATTTCTTTTTTGCAAGCTGAATATTTCCTCTGGAGCCCCCACCATCCAATCTATGCTTCTTTTACTAAAGCAGCCCTCCCTGCAGCAAGGCTTTCCCCACATCCATTATGTGTGGATTGGACATCTCACTCACACCTTTGAATTTAGGTGTGCAGAATCATTCCGCAAAGACTAAAGTATGAAACAGGTTTATTGAGGCACCTGTATTTTCAGCCTTCACAGAATAGTTTTAAGGAAATATTGTTGAAATAAGAATTTGGGGGATGGGGGAGAACCAGGGTTGACAAACCCTCCAGATGTTTGCACTACAATTCCCATCCTGTCCAGCCAGTCCAAAACATCTGGAGGTTGCAAGGTTGGTGAGATCAGGACTAGTTCATAATCCAGAACATAACAGTGTCAAGTCAGTATTATCCATTCTTTCTGTTTCTGCAACTCTGTAGTATGGGCACCAAAATTCCAGAGTTCTTATTTCCCTCAAAGCTTTGATTCATCAATTTAAATACCAAGATATCTGAGTGTGTGAGAGAGAAGGGGAACAAGGAAGGAGCTTTTGTCAACATCCAGTCTAGGCTATTTATTGGCACAGAGTTCCTCAACTTTTGGATCCCAGATGTTGTTGGTTGAGAACTGTGATCCTCAGCCAGCTTAGCTGATGATCAGGGTTGATGGGAGTTGTAATCCAACAACGTTTGGCAACCCAAGCCTGGTTTACAGTGTTTATAGGCTGCCCTGTGTGTCCAGCATGGCTCACAAGAAGAAATAAAACCATTTGAAATTAAAAAATAATAGAAGTATAAACACAGCATAAAAATAGTCACATATATAAATCTAAAACAGATAAAAAGGCTGGTGCTGGAGTGACTTACCTTTGAAAGTGCTATGTGGGAGGGCATTTCAAAGCCAGGAAGCCTTCCCTGGAAAGGTAGATTTCCTTATAGTCACTCACCATACCTTACTGGATGGAGACACTTGAAGAAGGTCCTCTGAAGTTCTCAAGGGTTGCGTAGGTATGTGTGAAGAGCAGTAGTTCTTCGGGTACCCTGATCCCAAGTCCCGATGGGTCTTAAAGGTCGAAAGCAACATCTTGAATTGGGTACAGAAATGGACTGTGAGCTAGTTAAGATAGTGAAGCACTAGTCAGATGTGCTTCCATTGCAAAGTTTCGGTCAAGCAGTTTTGTAGTCATGCACTGAATTTTCAAAAGTAGACTTTTCTACAATGCCCTGCAGTAGTCCAACTATGAATGGAACCTTTTTTAGCAGTCCCAGGCAGAAATGCTGAATTTTGCAATTGAAACTCAGGTTGTTGAAGCAACCAGCTGTTTTCTCTACTTGAAGAAATGTTCTTGTCGAAAGCAGGCTGTTTATGGCTATTTAAAATAACTGTGGCACCTTTTAAAGCAGGATTTACCAGGTAAGCTTCAAAGAATGCATCCACACTAGTGGTAAAGGGGAGTGTGGCACTGAGAAGGAAATCAGGGGGTACTGTGCAAAGCAGACTGAGGATGAGGAAGAGAGGATTAAGACAGGCTGATGGTTTTGATAGTAAAGTATTTGCATTCTTTAGGATTGGAGTTAGGTATGAATGAAAATTAGGCTTATTCCCCATAGAGGGCAAACACGGACCTTAAGAACAAGGTTTAATAGTTGCACTTTAATTTTAGATGTATGGTCTACCCAGTCCAAAGGACTGGGAGTGGGTTTCTACCAGTATTGCACAGTAGAAATAGAGCCTCTTATGCCAAAAGTTCAGTCTAATGTCCATGCAAGGCATTACAAGGGGTAACATAAAGTTCTCAGCCATGTTCACCCTTACAATGAAAAGTAGGGACTGCATCCATTTGCAGCATGTAATAAGAGGGAGGACCCATAGCTCAGTGGTGGAGCATCTGCTTTGCATTCAGCAGGTCTCAGGTTCAATCTCTGGCTTCCCCACTTGGGGCTGGGAGCCAACCCTGCCTGGAGAGCTGCTGCCAGTCAGTGTAGACAATACTGTGCAAAACAGACCAATGGTGTGACTTGTAATACAGCAGCTTCCTATGTTGCTATGTGATGCTTTTTCCACCTACTGATTCCCTCATTAAGTATTTCCCTGGCTAAGGTCGCTTCTAGTTTTGGAAGCCAGCTGGTGTGTATATGTGTGCAGAATGGCCAGGGAGCAATTTCAGGGAAGAGCTGAGTGCAGGAGGAGTTTAGGGAGGTGGTTCCCACTTTCTGATTCTCCCCAGCAAGTCTGCCCCTGAATTCTGCAATATGTTGGAAAACATGGGTCTTGGGTATGTTTCCTAAGAATGCCTATTTTGGTTCCTTAAATAAAACTTCTCTGCTGTTACTTTTTCCTTTATGATATTTTGAAAAATGCTTATTGGGAAATGCCAGAGATTTAATTCAGGGACACCTCTTTATCGGGTGAACAATAGTATGATGTGGCTCTGAGGCACATCTGGCAAAAAGGCTGCAAAGTATCTCTGCTGTTCTTCACACTTCTGAAATCTGCATTGCCATAATATCCTACACGCAATCCAAAGATGTGCACCTGTGGCCATTTTCTCTCTGCTTCTCTGTGTTTGCTTTTAGAATAGGAGGTCAAGGATGGTCGTGGCCTTGAAATGAAGCCACCTACCCATTTGGCTCCAAACCAAGAAATTTATTTACTTTCCCTAATTCCAGCTGTTCCGAATTCACTTGTTCGCTCAGTACACCTTGTACGAAGGGACAAATGTACCATCAAATATATTCCTACTAATTCCCTTACCTGGCACTGTAGTCTAAACCACTGAACCTCTTGGGCTTGCCGATCAGAAGGTTGGCGGTTCGAATTCCCGTGACGGGGTGAGCTCCTGTTGCTCGGTCCCAGCTCCTGCCAACCTAGCAATTCAAAAGCACACCAAAAAGTACAAGTAGATAAATAGGTACTGCTCCGGTGGGAAGGTAAAGAGTGATTCCGTGAGCTGCTCTGGTTTCGGTGTTCCATTGCGCCAGAAGCGGCTTAGTTATGCTGGCCACATGACCTGGAAAAACTGTCTGTAGGCAAACGCCGGCTCCCTCGGCCTGTAAAGGGAGATGAGCAGTGCAACCCCCGAGTCATCTGCGACTGGACTTAACT